GGAGCCCTTGAAGGAACCTTTAAAGGGAGCCCTCTAAGGAGCCCTGAAGGAACCCTTAAAAGAGTCCCTGAAGGGAGCCCTTAAGGGACCCCCTAAACCCTAAACCCTAAACCCTAAGCCTAAACCCTAAACCCTTAAAAGAGCCCTTGAGGGAGCCCTTAAGGAATCCTTAGAGACGCCTTAGCAGAACCGGAGCCGCATCTGAGGCCTCGTGGCTGCCACGAGCTTCTTGGACTCAGGAAATGAAAGAGACGGGTTTAGGGGTTTAGGGTTTAGGGTGGACTTGGAGGGTCGGGGGACTTAAGAAGTAGTTATTTTAAAGACTGATATAAGTATCCTAGCCCCGTTTAGGATCCCTTTTAAGGTACTTAGAGCTCTAGTTAGTACCTACTTACTAAGTCCCCTGACCCTCCAAGAAGGGCTTAGGGTTTAGGGTTTAGGGTTTAGGGCTTTGGGTTTAGGGCCTGGGTCGATTTCTCCGGTTCAACCCCCAGTCGCCCAACAAAAAACTTAAACCTCAGCCCCAGACCCCAAACAACCAACCCTGAACCCTAAACCCTAAGCCCCCCAAAGGGTTTAGGGTTGGGGTTTAGGGTTTAGGGTTTAGGGGTTTAGGGTTTAGGGTTTCCAAGCCCGAAACCCCAAGCCCTAGACCCCGAACAACCAGCCCTAAAAGGCATCCTGAAGGGTTATCAGGGTTCTGGAAAGGTCCACAAGGGGCATTCAAGGGTTTATGGACAAGGGTCCTTTCAGGATCCTTTTCGGGTTCTTCAATGGCCCTATCCCTTTTCCAAGTGCTTTCCTTTGTGCTTAGTTGGCTATTGAGTACAGAATCGATTTGGTTTTGTAGTGGTTTCATAAACGAAATACAGCTTTGGTCTGCAACAGTGTCTCCGACATCCGGGGATACTATGAGACATGGACACCAAGATGAGCCAACCCAAGCAGCCGGACCTTCCACAAAGACGGTTGGTTTCGATTTATGGGTTTTCTGATCTCCGGACGCAGATGTGTGAAGATGGTCCCCAAAACCCCAAACCCTAAACGCTATTATTCTCCCCAAAACCCTGCTCTTCTTCTAGCTTATTCTGGAAACCCCACAAAACCCTGAACCGATGTCTGATGATCTTCAGTATATAAATATAAACCCTAAGCCCTACCCTACACCCTAAACCCTAAACCCTACACCCCAAACCCACACCCTGAATCCAAATTTTAGGGTTTAGGGCTGAGGGTTTACGCTGAACCCTAAAACCTAAATCATGTAAACCCCGAAGGCTAGTGACCCTTGTCTAATGCTCTTGGGCCACTCTTGATGCCCAAGGGCCCTGGCGTTTCCGTGACTGGCCGATGCCGGAGAAGTGGCTTGGGGAAGTCAAGGGTTCAGGGTTTTTAAGGTTCAGGGTTTAGGGTTTAGGGTTTTAGGATTTCGGGTTTAGGGTTCAGGGTTTAGGGCTTTAGGTTTTAAGGTTGAGGGTCTAGGGTTTAGGGTTCAGGGTTTAGGGTTCAGGGTTCCCAGACCCTAAGCCCATCTCCCATCTGAAAATCCCTAAGCCCCAAAGGATGTTGGCGATATTCTAGTATAGTATAGGTTCAGGGTTTCACATAGTGGCTTGTTCATCTCAACAGGGTCTTGGGGTATATTGCGTCTAGTAGAGTATACGGGTAACATAGGGACCTTAATAGGTAAAAAGGGGTTCCGGGGTATACTATACTATAATTGCAAAAAGTAGCCCCAAAATAGGATTGGTCGTTATTTGTTCTCGAAATTAGGGTCCCTTTTCAGATTCCGCAGAGAGTACCGCACTTTACAAAAAAGGACCTACAGGGGACCCTGGCTTACAACAAGAAGGGTCGCCGTGCCAAGTCCGGCGGCGCAGTGCCTTTGCACGAGAACCTTAGGGAATGGCTGAAGGTTCGACGACCTGAGCAGTACACCTCACTCGGAGGGCAGAAGATCCAGCTGCAGTTGCAGTGCGAGCTCTGCAGGGAGAAGTTCCATGCCGTACGACCAACCACCATATACTTTGTCCTGCAACATGAGGCACAGTCTCTGCATTGGGAGGCTCAGCAGAAGCGGCAGCGACCTCAGTGCGAGGGCCTGCGGCTGGAGCATCGGAATCCAGTGGAGAGGACATTGGGGCATGACGTGGCCCAGTGCTTCCTCTTGTGGGCTCAGCATGATTGCCCTTGGCATATGCATTGGTGGCTGGGCAGCGAGCTCATCGTGTTGAGCTTCGGGCTTCTGATGACTTGCGGTTTAGGGTTTCGCTGAGTTTAGGAAGTTTAGGTTTTTTTCTGGTTAGGGTTGAGAGTTTTGTCCTTCCTGGCCATGGCACCCTAAACCAACTCCGAAACAAACAGCATTTCAGAATGACTCCGATGTCGGGGTCCTCTTGATATCTTGCGCTAGAATGAAGAGTGCCCGGAGTTTACGATCCCCAAGCCCTAAACCGTAAACCCTAAACCCTAAACCCTAAACCCTAAACCCTGAACCCTGAACCCTGAACCCTAAACCCTAACCCTAAACTTAAACCCTAAGAGCGCCCGGAGTTTGCGATTCAGGGCTTGGGGTTTGGAGCGTAGGATTGAAGGTCTGCAGGATTCGGGGTTCAGGGTTTAGGGGTT